GTCACATAACAATGTATGTATAAATTTTTGTATGGGAAAAAATTTAAAAAAATTTAAAAAGAAAAAAAAAAAAAACAAAGAAAACCCTATGAAGCACAGTTCTACTCTGATGCAAGTAGGTTCGCCATGAGTCAGAATTGACTCAATGGCAACTGGTTTGGTTTGGTTTTGGTTTATAAACCAGTAAGGGCTTACCACCGACCCTGCTGCCATTGACCTTTATGAGAATGTGGCTACCATGCTTAGCTCTATTTCCCATGAATTTCAAAGATGTGCCATTTCACACTGTGCCATTTCTTCAATTCTCATGGTGCCAAACTACATCCCATGGTGAAGTAAAAAAACTGGCCCAATGCCTGGCTCTGTGGCTAGGGATTTTGTTGACTGAGCCCCAAGACAGTGCAGCCTGTGCTCCAGGACCTACAAGCCCCTCATGAAAACATGCATTCTGCTTTCTGACTGAAATCCTTCTCCCTATAGGGGATTAAAGGAGTCCTGGTGGCACAGTGGTTAAGCACCTGGCTGCTAACCAAAAGGTTGGTGATTTGAACCCACCAGCCGTTCTGTAGGAGAAAGATGTGGCAGTCTGCTTCTGTGAAGATTACAGCCTTGGAAGCCCTACGGGGCAGTTCTACTCTGTGGTATAGGGTCGCTATGAGTCAGAATCAACTCACCAGCAGTGTGGGGGGTCAGGTGTAGTAAATAACTGAGCTGAGCTTGGGAGTGTAGTACTCTAGATCACCTTCTTCCTTCCACTTCCCTTTTTACCCCATGTATATTAATTCATCCAAATAAATCTCTAGGGCAGTGCTGTTCAGTAGAACTTTCTGTGATGATGGAAATATTCTACATCTGTGCTGTCCAGTATGGTAGCCACTAACCACATTTGGTTCATGAGCTCTTGGAAAGTGACTACTGTGACTGAAGAACAGAATTTTAAAATGTATTTGATTTTAATTAATTTAAATTTAAATAGCCACATGTGGCCAGTGTTTGCATCTGTAGCCACTTTATCTTTGCAGTGCTCTATAGTCTTACATTTTTCACATTCATGCCTTGTTCAACTGCCAGTCATGCTGCTGTAGGTCAGCTGAGAAACCTTTCTTTCTTTTGTGGAGAAGCAGCCTGGATCCAGCTTCCTGCCAGCTAGTTCCAGAGCTGGTATCAGAGTGAGTCTTAAGCTGAGCTGACCACCACCATTTCTCTTTTCCAGAAACCCAAATGTCGCCCTACATTTGCTGAACTGCTACAGGTTCTCACAGAGTTTGCAGAGACCTGGTGACCTGAAACAGAATGCCAACTCAGAAGGACATCATGCAAATTTGCCTCAAAAGGAAATTCTGCATGATATCACTGATGGTGAATATTTTGCTTTAGAGTTGTTGACTCTTGGATACAGTGCAAAGATCGCAAGCTTTTAAAACTTTTTTAAATTTAAGAATATTCTGACAACAGCTTTTCTATGTGTGTGTTTGAGAGAGACTTTTAAACTCTTATTTTTTGGTAATATTTTTCATGTCCCACATATGAAGAAGGGAAAAAGACTCTACAGCAACCTTCATAGTGGCTGCTCTTCACTATAATAGCCCCGAGAGCCCCTGAGGTACATGAAAAATGGATCCTTTTCAGGGTGAAGAAATTTCTTTCCTGAAGCAGAATGACATTCTTTACCTCAGTGGTCCATGTATAGAAGATGAAAGGAAATTCTGTCAACTCATGGAATAAAAGACCCTCCCCTTCAGAGTTTCATGCTTTTGAGCTGTACAGATCTTTATAGAAAATACACCTTTACTAACCACATGAACATGAATATTCTGGAGCTGTCTTTTATAGTCTCCCCATACATTATTTGACAAATATGCTGTTTTTGCACATATCTGATTATTTTGGAGCCATTTTCTTACATCTCAGTTCTAAATGCTGTTACAGGAGATAACCAAAATTCCCCTTGAACAGATCCTGGTGACATTTCCTTTTTCCAGTGATATCCATTGTCAGGAGCAATTCAGAACCTGAATTTCAATTCTGAAATTTCACACTCTGTAAATGTGAGATCGGACAATTTAAGAAGCCTTATTTTGTCATTGAAATTGCCTCCAGACACCTCCTGTTACCTTTCTGGATAACAATTTGTTCTTTCTACAAAACAGTATAGCCACATGCTCTGTGTGTTACATAAGACTATTATTCCTAAAGTCAGTGGTTTTGAATTCAAGATGAAACGACCAGCAATGATGATTAAATGTTAATTTCTCATGCACACTTTGTATAAACGATTAGAAAATGATCTTTATCATGTGGAGTACTTCAGAAGTACCATAGGAAGAAAAACGCTGCAGAGAGCACAAGTATAATTACCATGAGGTTAAACAATGGAAGTCTATTATTTGTATGTTGTCCCACCCTGCATCCTGATTCTGAGGTTATATATTTTGTAATTCTCATTAGCTTATAAATTCCTGGATGTCAGTATTTGGACTTTTAAGTCATATTTCCCTACTCCAAAAATGGTACCTTTGAATATCAGTGGTACTCAATAAATGTGCATTGATGTAATGAGCATCAGGTGTAAGAAGAGACCTGATCATTCAAGTGGTGGTCTCAGAAACATTTCTATGAGATACTTGGTGTTTTTGAGACTGTCACACCTCTTTTCCTCATAACTCTTGCTATGGTGAGGTAAGACAGAGGGCTTCCGCAACTGAGAACTTAGTTCAAATAAGATATAAGAATGCCTAGCTCAAGAGGGCATGAACCAAAAGCTTAGGGAGGTGAGGTTAATATCATGACATAGGAAATAGTGTAATATTAATATAGGGAGCAGGGTGCTGCTATGGGTTGAATTGTTGCCCCCAAAAGATTTGTTAAAATCCTAACACCTGGTACCTGTAAATGTGACCTTGTTTAGAAATAAGGTCTTTGAAGATATTATTAGTTAACAAGTCATACTGGAGTAGGGTGGGCCCTAACCCAATATGACTGATATCCTTATAAAAAGAATAAAAGAGACACAGACACACAGAGAGAAGCAGCCACGTGAAGAGCGGGGCAGAGATTGGAGTGATGCATCTACAAGCCAAGGAATGCCAAGGATTGCCAGGAACCACCAGAAACTAGGAAGAGGAAAGAAAAGATCTTCCCCTAGAACCTTCAAAGAAAGCATGGTCCTGTCAACACTCTGGTTTCAGACGTCTAGCCCCCAGAACTATTAGACAATAAGTTTCAGTTGTTTTAAGCTACCCGGTTAGTGGCAATTTGTTGCAGGAGCCTTAGAAAACTAATATATGTGCCTTTCTCAGGCTTTACTCAGCTTGAAAGCCCCAACCCCTCAAAAAAGGAAAAAACAAACAAAAAACCCACTGAAAAAGTAGGACTGTCTATAGAGTATCTGACCTCACTAGAGATGCAGTGAAGGGAGACAGAGTACAGAGTAAAGCGTGATAAGGGATAAATAGTAATTCCTGGAGGCCATATGACAGCAGCAGGCACATCTCAGAACATATATTGGTGGTGGTAGGGGAACTCTTATCTTCTGAAAGGTCAGCAGTTGAAACCTACCCAGCAGCTCCACTGGAGAAAAGAAAGACCTGACGATCTGCTCCTTTGAAGATTATAGCCTTGGAAACCTTATAGGGCAGTTCTACTCTGTCATACAGGGTTGCTATAAGATGGAGTTGACTTGATGGTACCTAACACAACAATGAGACTCCACTTAATGTGTGAACTGTGAATAACCAAAAATGGAGATTCAGCATTTGCTGTCTAGCAAGAGAAAAAAGAATTTAAGAGTTAGTCACACAACTTCTCGGAAAAGAAATACATTTTTCAACAAGTCTTAATATTAGTTATTGATATGAGGTCTCTGGAGGTGGCTTAACAAGTCTGGAGTGAGATAGTGCAATATCTAAACAGCTATTCATAAGTAATGAACAGGAGGTTTAGGGGCTGTGAGGAGCCCCAGTGGCACAGTGGTTATGCACTCAGCTGCAAATCAAAAGACCAGCAGTTCGAACCCACCAGCTGCTCTGTGGGAGAAAGATGTGTGTGGCAGTCTGCTTCCATAAATATTACAGCCTTGGAAACTCTTTGGGGCAGTTCTACTCTGTCCTATAAGGTCCGTATGAGCAGGAATTGACACCAGTGGGTTTGGGATTTTTGGGGGGCTAAGAGCCCTAAAGAGGAGAAGACCAGCCATCAGAGAAGGGAGAGGAGGCTAAGAAAAATGTAAAGAATTTAGAGCGAAGCAGAAGATATGATCAGTAAAAGAAATCTGATAGCAAGAGTAGTCAAAGGATTTTTTTTTCTTTTATAAATTTTTTATTGAAATACAATATGTGGTCCCAAGGCAACAGTGGTCACAGGTTTGGACTGACAATAAAACTCACAGTAAATAATAGCATTTAATCTAGCACTGTTTACTAAGTTTACTTAGTTTTCTAGAAGTATGTTGTTGTTGTTTTTATTAGCTGCTGTTGAGTTGGCCCTAGATTCATGGTAAGCCCATGCACAATAGAACAAAACATTGCCTGTTCCTGTGCCATTGCCATGATTGGTTGCAGATAGGATTGAATTTTTGTGACCCATAGGGTTTTCATTGGATAATTTTCAGAAGCAAATCACCAAGACTTTCTTCCTAGTCTGTCTTAGTCTGGAAGCTCCACTGAAACCTGTTCAGCATCACAACAACACGCAAGCTTCCATAGACAGGTAAGTGGTGGCTGTGTTTGAGGTATATTGGCTGGAAATTGAACCTGGGTCTCCTGCATGGCAGGGGAGAATTCTACCACTGAATCAGGAAACAGAGTGTGTACAGCACTTCAGTTTCAATGAAAAGCCTAGATCTCCACTTGCATAGATACTTGAGCCCCTCTCAGTTGCATAAAGGGCATACACAGTTGCTAGCGATGAGGCCATGTTGTGTGTGGTTCACCTTTATGCAAACAAGCTTCTCCCTGAGTTTACCACCAGTCAAGTAGGCCTACAGTTCACAGCTCTCCTAGTCTATGTGCTGTCCCACAAATCAGAGGATTCACAGTGTATAAAACAGATGCCCAACTCGGGCATCCAACATTTCAAATTCATCTTAACTCGGTACCTTTCCATGAAACTGGTGATGAGAGAAGGTGTCTTAGGCTGGATTCTCTAAAGAAGCAAAACTAGTAAAGTGTATAAATATATATGTACAGAGAGATTTATATCAAGGAAATGGCTGACACAGTTGTAGAGGCCGGAATGTCCCAAGTACATGGATCAGGAAAGAGGCTTCTCCTGATTCACATAGCCACAGGGGCTGGTAAACCCCAAATCGGCAAATTGGAGAGCAGGGCTCTTGCTCACAGGCTGTGAAGATCGACAAATCCCAAGATTGGCAGGCAAGACCGCAGGTAAACTGCTAGCTTAAGTCCCAAGAACCGGAGGTCACATGAACAGGAGCCAGCTGCTGGATCCAGAACAGGCAAAAGCCAGAACATCTGCTTATATTTGGATGCAGGCCACACGCCCAAGGAAACTCCCTTTTGACTGTTTGGCTACTCATAGCAGATTCCATCATGCGGGTGATCACATATCAAATCTCTATAGGTAAGTGATCATAACTTTATACGACTGCCAAAACACTGAGAATCATGGCCTAGCTAAGTTTACACACAATCTTAACCATCACAGAAGGCAAAAGCTAAGGTTATCTTCCCAGGCAGTTTCTACATCTGGGATAAAAATGATACAAGCCTGCTGTTAATCTTTTACTCACATATACAGAAAGAAAATTATAGGAATATGTTATGGATTGAATTGTGTCCCCTTAAAATATGTGTTGTAAATCTTAACCTCTATGCCTGTGGTTATAGTCCCCTTTGGGAATGCATTGACTTTGTTATGTTAGTAAGGCAGGATTAGTGTAGGGTGTATCTTGAATCAATCTCTTTTGAGATATAAAGAGATTAAACAAGGAAGCTAGAAGCAGAGCTGGAGGAAGAGAGATGCCAAGCCACATGAAGATTACTAAGGAGCAGAAGCTCAAAGAAAGAACGACCTTCCTTCAGAGCCAAGAGACAGAAAGTCTTCCCCTAGAGCTGGCACCCTGAATTCAGACTTCTAGCCTCCTAAACTGTGAGAAAATAAATTTGTTTGTTAAAGCCATCCACTTGTGGTATTTCTGTTATAGCAGCACTAGATAACTGTCTAGAGCATGTACTCTGTTAAAATAAAAGGAAAGAGATTTATTGAAAGAATGAGAACAGTTCAAACTCAGATTTATTGAAAGAATGAGAACAGTTCAAACTCAGGAGACACAAAGGTTCACAAAGTGAAAGTAAATGCTCCACCTTTCTGGAAACAAAGTTGAACTTTTAAACATAAAGACATGACAAATTTTGTGAACATTTCGAAAATAGCTCGTTTTTCATATCAGTTCCTTATCTCTTTCTAGAAGACTATATGCATAAAACTTTTTTTTCTGAGAACATTGCATTTTCATCACACGCTTCCTAGAACATCCTGAGTACATACATTACTTTTGTTTTTGTCTTCTTCCCCTGCTTGCTCAGAGTTATTTGGATTAACTTTTTATTGAGAGCGCTCTCTGAATGCATCAAGGTTTTAAGTTTTAAATATGGAGCCAGCCCATATCTCTCAAGAACAGAGGCAATTTGCACAAACATTCTTTCTGAAAGCAGCTGCAGTTCTACCTCCCCTCCTACCCATTCTCCCTGAGACAGTAAAAATTAACCCATTATTGGGAGCTCTCTCAAACACGTCTTATTTTTTAGGTCTGCTAGCATAATACAAAACAGTGTTTGGCCTGCACTCTGGGCAGAAGCCTCTCCTATGTCAAACACATAGATTTTTTTGGACTCTTCCACAATCCTTCCTTTTGATCAAGAATTTCTATTGCAATCTACTGACGACTATTATAACAGTGCTTGTTCTGCATGGGTGAAATTTTTATATTTTTATCAGATGGCACCTATTTTGGAGATAGATTTTTAAGGCCCTAGATGCTATCTATGAAGGGTAGCCAGGCACTATCTGTTTCATCTTTGCCATGCCATAGCTTGGGCCTCTCCTTTTGTGATTCTTTTAGGAAAGGGCGTGTAAGAGCAGGGCCAAATTAACAGGAATACTTGGCAGAGAGGGCTGCTAACCAAGGTGAAGAACTGAACTATTTTCTAAGGAATAGTGGTTTCTTCAAAGTACATAGCAAGCAGCACTGCATGGTGAGTACAAGCATTTGACATACATTTCATTAAACATTTAACCTAAGGGTATGCCATAATTTCATACGTATGGCTCGTTTTGAAGGTGAAGTTGGGATTAACAGTAGTATAGGGTAATTTAATATAGAAGAGGCTAATGGATCTAAATTCTCATGCTCAGATTGTGGGGAGGGATGACAGATTTAACATTCAGACAGATTGCCAAAACTGGCCACTGAGTGGGCTAGTTTAACAACTGCATTTTCTCTCTAAACATTAGAAGGAATTATTAATGAGAAAAGTAGAAAACTTAAACAATTTTCTATTATGAACAAACTATTAGGGAAGAAGTACAAAATAACAAAGTACAGCTAATAACGTTAAGAATAGCTACAATTATAAAACAAAGTCTAAAAATTTCAACAGGCTGCATGGAGTCTTGTTCTGTGATCTTAGGATCAGCAGTCTACTTTGAGTATCTCTGCTTTTGGCTATTAGAGTGTTTAAAGATGTTCCTTTGTTTCTGCTGTCTGACCAAGGTGCCAAGGTGTAGAAATTTATATAAAAGGGGCAACCATCTGAATTATTTGGCACATAGAATCTGCACTGTATGAACATGTTTCTCTAAGGATATGCAAGTATCAACAAGAAAGCATAAAATCTGTCTATATTTTGGAATATTGGATGGGACAATGCATTAAAAAAGTGTTTTAAATATATTATCTCTTATTCCCATGGGCTGTTGTTTTGTCTCTAGTAATCATACTGCTCATGGACATTCTGAGTTTAATGTCATAAACAATCT